CCGCACTTTGGAAGGCCAAGGCAGGCGGATCACAACATTGGGAGTTGAAGATCAGCCTGGCCAATGTAGTGAAACCCCGTCTCTACTAAAAATACAAAAATTAGCCAGACATGGTGGTGCATGCCTGTAGTCCCAGCTACTCAGGAGGCTGACACAGGAGACTCGCTTGAATCCGGGAGGCAGAGGTTGGGGTGAGTTGAGATCACACTACTGCACTCCAGCCTGGGCAACAGAGCGAGACTCCATAAAAACAAAAAACAAAACAAAACAAAAAACCTAAAGACTGCACCAAAAGGCTCCGGGAACTGGAACTGATAAACAACTTTAGCAAAGTTTCAGGATACAAAATCAATGTACAAAAATCAGTAGAATGTCTATACATCCAGAACATTCAAGCTGAGAGCCAATCAAGAACACAATCCCATTTCTAATATCCCAAGAAAATAAAATACCTAGAAATACATCTAACCAAGGAAGTAAATGATCTCTACAAGAAGAACTAAAAAATGTTGCCGAAAGAAATCATGAATGACACACATACACAGAAAAAAATGGAAAAATATTCCATGCTCATGAATTGGAAGAATCAGTATTGTTAAAATGGCCATACTGCCCAAAGCAATCTGTAGATTTAATGCTATCCGTATCAAGCCAGCAATATCATTTTTCACAGAACTAGAAAAAAACTATTCTAAAATTCATATGGAACAAAAAAAGAAGCCTGAATAGCCAAAGCAATCCTAAGCAAAAAGAACAAAGCTAGAGGCATCACATTACCCAACTTCAAACTATGCTATAAGGCTACGGTGACCAAAACAGCATGGTACTGGTACAAAAACAGACACATAGACCAATGGAACAGAATAGAGAGCCCAGAAATAAGAAGGCACACCTACAGCCATCTGATCATCAACAAAGTCAACAAAAATAGGCAATGGGGAAAGGAATCCCTATTCAATAAATGATGCTGGGAAAGCCATAGGCAGAAGAATAAAATTAGAACCATATATTCCACCATACAGTATCTTTCACCATATACAAAAATTAACTCAAATGGATTAAAGATTTAAATGTAAGACCTCCACTATAACAACTCTAGAAGGAAACCTAGGAAATATCATTCTAGACATTGGTTGGGAAAAAAAAAATATGACTAAGTCTTCAAAAACAGTTGTAACAAAAACAAAAACAAGTGGGACCTAATTAAACTACAGAGGTTCTGGACAGCAAAAGAAACCATCAACAGAGTAAACAGACAACCTACAGAATGGGAGAAAATATTCACAAATGATACATCCAACCAAGGTCTAATATTCAGAATCTATAAGGAATTTAAACAATTGAACATGCAAAAATCAAATAACCCTATTTTAAAAATGAGCAAAAGACATGAAGAGACACTTCTTAAAAGAAGACATATAAGCAGCCAACAAGCAGATGAAAAAAGACTCAACATCATTAATCATCAAAGAAATGCAAATCAAAACCACAGTAAAATACCATCTCACACCAGTCAGAATGACTATTATTAAAGAGTCAGAAAACAACAGATGCTGGCAAGGCTGCAGAGAAGAGCCTTATACATTGCTGGTGGGAATGTAAATTAGTTCAGCCACTGTGGAAAGCAGTTTGGAGATTTCTCAAAGAACTTTGAGAACTACCATTTGAACCAGGAATCCCATTACTGGGTATATAGCCAAAAGAAAATAAATTATTCTACCAAAAGGACATAGCCACTCATATGTCCATCACAATGCTATTCACAATAGCAAAGACATGCAATCAACCTAGGTGCCTATACAGTGGAATGAATAAAGAAAATGTGGTACATATACACCATAGAATACTATGCAGCCATAAAAAGAACTAAATAATCTTTGCCAGCAACATGGAGGCAGCTAGAGGTCATTGTCCTAAGCAAATTAATGCAGAAACAGAAAACCAAGTACCATGTGTTCTCACTTACAAGTAGGATGCTAAACAATGGATACTCAGGGACATAAAGATGACAAGGATAGACACAAGAGTACTAGATGTGAAGAGGGAAGCAGGGAGCAAGAACTGAAAATGACAGTCAGAATGGTGATTATTAAAAAGTCAAGAAACAGTTGCTGGCAAGGTTGCAGAGAAATAGGAACGCCTTTATACTGTTGGTGAGAATGTAAATTAGTTCAACCATTGTGGAAGAGTGTGGCAATTCCTCAAAGATTTAGAACCGGAAATACCATTTGACTCAGCAATCCCATTACTGGTTATATACCCAAAGGAATATAAATCATTCTGTTATAAAGATACATGCATGTGTATGTCCATTGCAGCACTATTCATGATAGCAAAGACATGAAATCAGCCCAAATACCCATCAATGATAGACTGGATAAAGAAAATGTGATACACATACACGACGGAATACTTTGCAGTCATAAAAAGGAATGAGATCATATTCTTTGCAGGGACATGGTTGGAGCTAGAAGCCATTATCCTAAGCAAACTAACACAGGAACAAAAATCGGAACACCACATGTTCTCACTTATAAGTGGCAGCTGAACAATGAGAACACGTGGACACAGGAAGGGAACAACACATGCTGGGGCCTGTCGGGGGAGTGCTGGGATGGGAAGAGCATCAGGAAAAATAGCTAATGCATACGGGGCTTAATACCTAGGTGATGGGTTGTTAGGTGCAGCAAAGCACCATGGCACACATTTATCTGTGTAACAAACCTGCACATCCTGCACATGTGCCCCAAAACTTAAAAGAAAGAAAATTACTTACTGGGTCTGCTATGCTCAGAACCTGGGCAATGGGATCAATTGTCTCCCAAACCTCAGCATCACACAGATGCCCAAGTAACAAACCTGCACATGTACCCCCAAATCAAAAGTAAAAGTTGAAATTAAAACAATAATGATGATTCTTTGCCTCACTACAAAAAAGAAAGAAGATGGTATAACCAATTCCAAAAAAAGTTAAACATAGTATTACTATACAACCCGGTACTTTCAGTTAGGTATACCATATGCTGAAAACACTTGAAAGCAGGGACCGTTCATAGCAGCATTATTCACAACCAAAAGGTGGAAACAACCCAAATGGCCATCAATGAATGAACAGATAAACAAAATGTGATGTGGATGAAGCTTGAGGACATTATGCTGAGTAGAATAAACCAGACTCAAAAGGACAAGTATGGCATGAGCCATCCACATGAGGTGCCTAGAATAGTTAAATGCATAGAGGCAGAAAGTAGAAGGGTGGTTATCAGGGGCTGGAGGGAGAAGCTAATGGAAAGTTATTCTTTAATGCATTTCAAGTTTTGGTTTGAAATGGTGGAAAAGTTCTGGAGATGGTGGTGCTGATGGATGCACAACAATTAATGCCACTGAATTGTACACTCAAAAGGGATTAAAAGATGAAATGAGATGTATATTTTACCATAATAAAAGAGACATAAAGCAATATTCATTTAATGTGCTAACATTCCTGAATCAACCAAGAGAACATCAGTGCTGCTTGTACAGCTTGCAGCTAGCTGTATGTGACAAAGAGGCGGTCAATGCATAGCTACACAGCTTCAGTGACACACAGGCCAGCACAGACTCCATGGCTGTGCACTGCCCTTTTTCCCGTGTGAAACTGGAAGAACACGCCTGGGTCTGCGGGAAAGGCACCTATCCCCAAGCTTCCAAGGCTGGAAGTTATAGGAAAATCTTCCTGTGGAAAGGGGCAACTGGATGGTGTTTCCCCACTCGTCCACCGAGTTGCACCACCCACCTGACAATTACTCACTTATTTCTAGCAGATCTGCCTCTTGGGCAGTACGCTGGTTTGGGTTCACTATTTCTCAGCTGCAGCCTAGAGGAACATTGGGAAGCTAGAGCTCAGCGTGGCAGATGGAAGGGACTGTACTGGTTTGAGCCGCAGTTCTTCAAATAAGTGCCTGTGTGGCTTTGGGAAAGCCACCTACGTGGACCTCAGTTTCCTTATTTAAAAGTGGGAATACGGCAGTACCTACCTCACACAATTGTACCACAGCTTAAATGAGCTATAAATGTTTAACAGCACCTAGAATAAAATAAGTATTCAACAAACAGGACTTTTTTTTTTTTTTTTTAGATGGAGATGAAGTCTTGCTCTGTCGCCCAGGCTAGAGGATAGTGGCATGATCTCAGCTCACTGCAACCTCCGCCTCCCAGGTTTAAGCATTTATCCTGCCTTAGCCTCCCAAGTAGCTGGGATTACAGGCATGTGCCACCATGCCTGGCTAAATTTTTTGTATTTTTAGTAGAGATGCAATTTCCCCATGTTGGCCAGGCTGGTCTCAAACTCCTGACCTCAAGTTATCCGCCTGCCTCAGCCTCCCAAAGTGCTGGGATTACAGACGTAAGCCACCACACCTGGCCTGGATTTTCATATAAGAGATATGTTACAGGTGGTAACAGGGATTGGGGCAGGATGGTCATTCATATCATTATAAGAATTGAAATACATAAATTCTACAATCTGAACCTTGTGCTGGTCAGATAGCCTGCAGGAGCTCCGGGACTGTGCAGGAAAAATAGAAGGAGATTAAATGGTGCTCTCCAAAGAGGTGGGTGATTCTTAAAACATTCTTTTCATTTTCATCTAATTCTTCAACTCGTTCCTTAATATTTTCAGTAGTTTGTCTCTTTGGTGGTAGATATGTACTTTTTTCCCACATCTACTAGAGGGTTTACTCATTCGTGCTTACGAAATGTCTGAAGACCCCTGAATCCAAAGAAATTTTGGTTATGTTAATATACTGCTAAATAAACAGAAAAGCCCTTAAGGAGAGTTTCAGGATTAAACACTACAGAAATTGATTGGAAAGAAATTATTTCCATCGGCGTGTTGGTCGGAACAACCTTTGACCAAACAGTGATGCTGCTTTCATGAGTTCAGTCAATCAGACTCCCATATTGATGGTGTGAAATTGAACTCACTAACTTTAATTGTTTTCTTAATTTTAATTATTCAGGTGCATCTTCCCAAAACCTGAAGACATTTATAGAAAGGTAAGCGGAAGATAAGAAGCTGTTTTTAATTTGGTTTCTCATTTTGAATAAGGAATGAAAACTCTGTTATTATCCCATAATCATTTTTACCGAGCATAAATAGCTTGTTAGTCACTATCCAAACTCTAGGATAGCACTCCTTGGGCCAGTGAGCATAGAAAGTGATTAATTTGCATATGTCCTCAAAGAAGGGTGATAAAGATGCATACAAAGTGGGTAAAACTTAGGCCTGACAGAAGTAACTGAAAAGACAAAAGGATGATGTCATATTCCTGCTTTATGAATGAGAAAACTTTTTGTGCTCATTTGAGCTTCAAGTTCAGAAGCAAGGCTTGAGGTGTCCTGACCAGAAGCCTCAAGAAGCCCTTGCCTTTTCAAAGTTGACTGTGGGTCCACAGCTGCCTGGATATTCTAAGAACGTGGACATAAGGATCTCAATAACTCACCCGTGCTTACTGATGCAATCGCCGTGAAAGATGCCAAGAAGACAGTATTGTGTCTATTTACCCAGGACTTCAATCCACTCTTTTCAATGTTATGCAGTTATATGGCCTTTCTCTAATAGGCAAGTGGGATAATAATTATGGAGAATAAATGGGAAATGAGAATGGTGGTTGGCTGTACTAAAATGAAAGAAAAATAGCAAAAAGTTTGCCAACAGGGGGGTCATACCACGATTGTTTTCAAAGGCCCTGCCTGTGTCACTGGCTGCAAAGCTAAGTTTCCAAATCTCTGACATTCGGATTCCATCTATGCCTTCTCAGCTTGTCTAGACACACAATGTTGGACCATCCTGCCATCGTTATATATGCCATGATTGGAAATGATGTCTGCAATGGGTGAGTTACTGCGAAAAAGTATTTTCAAGATTCTTTGGCTCTGGGGTCTTCCCCACCCCACTCCTCACCAACTCCACTCCATTATAGCAGCATGCTCTTTAACTGAATTTCTCTATCTTAGAAGCACAGCCGGGTGCAGCGGCTCATGCCTGTAACCCCAGCACTTTGGGAGGCCAAGGCGGGCAGATCACCTGAGGTCAGGAGTTTGAGACCAGCCTGGCCAACATGGCAAAACCCCATGTCTCTACTAACAATGCAATGTTAGCTGGACGTGGTGGCATGTGCCTGTAATCCCAGCTACATGAGAGGCTGTGGCAACAGAATCATTTGAACCCGGGAGGTAGAGGTTGCCATGAGCTGAGATCATGCCACTGCACACCAGCCTGAATGACAGAGCAAGACTCTGTCTCAAAAAAAGCAAGTCCTAGACACATATGAAATCAACAGAACCAATCTATGAAGCTGAAAACCCCTTTTGAAAATGTCTGCTCCATTAATTATCAACTCTGATGTAACAACAAATGTATGTCCTCATCATTTATGTCACAAGAAATGTGCCACTAAGGACTGAGAATCCAAGATTGGGAATTGTGACTTTTTTAGTAAAATAAGGCAGAAGCACAGCTACCCCCTAAGAATATCAATCTCACTCATATTCTCATCTACTTTACTTCCTCACGTGGAAGAGACAGCATAGATGCATAGACCTACAGCATTTGCAAAGAAACTATGAATAACTCATGGCCAATCCTATCTATGTCCATGGCCCCTAGCAAGAAGGTAATTTTGCTAAACTGCTGATATCAGCAGTGACTTCAAAATGGTGAATCCCTTAGTTCCTATACAACATTTGGGGAGTTTTGTCAAAATCTGTGTACACCCCTAATAATATGATACGTGTATGAATGCCATCTGTTCTGTGATTGTGGCCAAAAAAGAAAAAAAATTGGTAAGATAGAATTTAGAGCAACTCCGCAGTAGCAATAGCCACCCACTCACTATTTGAGGAAACCGAAAAGTAAGGCCAAGAGACGTTCATGACTTGCCCGAGGCAACAGGGTTGATTAATGGCAGAGCTGGACTCCACCCCAACTATGCTAGAAGTGGGCAATCCTGCTCACTCGCCCCGTTTGCTTTCCTGTATTTCACTTGCCATGCTTTCTAAGCCTGCGCTGAAAACAAAACTCAATAGTATTAAAGTGTGTTTGCCCACACAGACAAAATTCAGTTGGCAAAGGAGACGTAGACATAATCAGTGAAGTGTGTTCAGGGCAGGATATACCACACAATGATCCAGAGACTCTGATATGTCAGATATCACCTTGGTGCCCTTAGGCTGGTTTACTGCTGTCCTCAGAATCCCAAGTTGCCAAGGCTACATGCTGGGCACCAAGGTCTGTGAAGGGCCACCTGGGACTTTCTAATAAACAGCAAACACCATGACTGCCATGAGCCAAGAGGTACAATACTCTCTATCATTCCATCCTCCCAGCAGCTCTAAGAGGCAAGGATGATTGTCCCATTTAGCAGATGAGGAACTGATTTGGCAAGGATAAGGAGCTTGCCTGTTCTGGGATCGAGCATCAAAGCTGGGAGCCAAACCAGGTTCTCTACCAAATCCCATCCCCTTTCTATAGTCCACGCTTCCTTATTTCCTTTCTTTGACTCATTCACTTTTTTAAGTATATAGTGAACACCCATGATGTGCCAAGCACTGTGCCAGGCTCTAGGATACAATGGCAAAGAAGCCACAGCCACTGCCATCAAGAAGCTAATGGAAGGAGAAACACCATGCTTCAGCTCCTAGCCGCCATCATGAAACAGAATAAAGCTACGGTCAGACCAGCCAGTGCTCCCCCAGCCCCCAGAGCATGTCCTTCCAAAGAGGGACAGAGAGCAAACTGACAATACTGAATAAAGAATGTGTGCAGAAAGTGACTCTGGCTCCAAAAGCCAAAATCCCTGAAACTATACTTTTCCAGCACAACCTGCCTACCCAGACCCCTCCAGCCCAGTCCTACTTTTCCTTTCCCGAAGAGCTAAAGGGCAGGCAGACATCAGCCAGAGACCTGTGCCAGCCTCTCCCCTGCTGGGGATCTGGGCAGAGAAGCAGCAAGCATTTGGGTGAAAGAACAGAGTTGGCAGTATGGGATGTCCCTGTGGTGCCCACTTTGTGATGTCCTGTGGAGGGGTTAAAAAAATAAAGACAGATGGCAACTACACCTCCCCATCTGCCAGAATGTCAAGGTGGAATAGATTTCCCAAAATGAGCAAAGGGATTTTATAAAAAGCTCAAGCAGCAAGGAGTTACATAATAAGTCTGTCCTGGAACAAGTTTTAGGATATTTGCTTGACTTTTTTCTTTTCTTTTTCTATGATGATGCTAGTTCTTGCTGAAGTAACACATTTATGTGTTTCTTTCTCAATTCTCTAAACCCATGCAGTTACTCAACAAACACTTGTTAAATGAATGAGGGTCACGGTAGGAAGATAGCTTTTAGCATCAGAAAGTCAAAAAGAAAGGTCATACATATAGAGAACCTGACTTTCTCATTGTAAACCTGCTTAATTTGATTTAGGCTAACTCAGCTTCCTTCATGCCTTTCCCATCACTGCCCTTGAGAGCCATGTGATATGAGTGATATGGAAGGAGAAACATTCCTGAAAACGGCAAATGTGAAGGAGCTACAGCAGCAGAACATTGGGGTGGCAGAGGCAGCAGTGGGAAATGAGAATGGCCTCAGAACATCCAATCATACAGGCCAGTGACAACCCTTCCCCAACATCCCAACATGGCATCCCTGAAATGAACATGGTAATTGCTGGAAATGCCATAGAATTATCCAAGCGTCTAGCACTAGCCCCATAAATGGATATGGTTTCATTTGTTACAGTGGGCAATCACAGGACAGATGGCATTCATATAAGCATCATATTCTTAGGAGAATACACAGAAAGTATACATTATACATTTTAATCTTATGGAGAGAGCCAGGACCACCCACACAGGTTTTTTGTGCCCCCCTGGCCCCAACCATTGTTTTTCTTCAATGCCAATGCTTCAGGTTATACCCTGGGCAGCAGCACTGCATTAAGAGGAAGCCAGCCAAGGCACTGACAGGTTGCAGGCCCCAAGAAGCCTGGACTAGTGAGAAACAATCGATGCTATTTATTCAGATGATAGGAAAGCCAGTAGGGAAGGGAATGGACAGAGCTCCTACTGCTCAGAGGAATTCTCTCTCCTAGCCTCCTCAGTCAGAGACATGGGTAGCAAAGGGAATGATAAGGAAGTTACAACCAACCAGCATGTTCCAGGCCACACCCACATTTAAGGGATGTTTAATGTATCTCTATGCATGAGGTAATGTGGAAGTCCTCACCCCATTTCCAGTGTGTATTACGATGCCCCTTCTCCCCAGCTACTCAGAAGGCTAAGGTGGGAGGATAGCTTGAGCCCAGGGGTTCAACCCTGCAGTGAGCTATGATCATACCACAGCCCTTCAGCCTGGGTGATAGAGCAAGACCCTGTATCTGTTTAAAAAAAAAAAATCTCTTCAAGGGGATTGGATGGGAGCCCAATGATGTGATTGCAACTGGCTGGCATGAAGAAAAGGGCTAACCCTCTTAACTGGGTGTTTTGAAAACACAAATCTAGCTATGAGTGAGGTCTGAGCACTTGATCACTAGCGATCTGGGCTTTAGCTATGGTTCTAGGAAGCCAATTTTCTGCACAAGCTGATCAATTTCTTCCTTGAAAAGGGACACCTGTCTCTGGCACCAGCCAGGTAAAATCTGGCTGGCTTACCTACCAGGGTAATGAAATGATCAGGCTTATTTTGCCTGATCAGACACAATTCATTAGGGCAGGACAGGCTTCAGAGCCACCCTCAGGGGTGAGGCTCTTCATCTGTTCTGAGCTCGTCATGTACTCCCGACGTGTGTGAGAGCATGTCAGTGAGCACCAATTTCTCTCTCATTATTTTCCCTAGTGTGGCCACTGTGTCCCAGGCTGATTTTCACATCTTCTCCGTTATTTGAGCACTCCTGATCTCTCACCTATCCATCTGAATGTCTGGAGTGAGCTCATTGTGAGAAGGGGTGCCAGGGTGCTGGGGTGGGCAGGCAAACTGAGGGTGGCAGGTGACTGGGACTCCTGAGTTGAAAAGGATTAGACACTTTCAGCTCAGCCCATTTGTTCTTTGGCAGACACCAGAGAACCTAGTAGGTAGTTCCCAATCACTAGGGTTCTCTGATCTCCAGAATACTAGCACTAAGTCTCCCCCAGGATCACCAGAGGAGAGAGAGTACACAGGTCAAAATGGCATTGAAAACTTTTCAGGGACAGAAGTCAGAAGGCATCTTCTATGGCATCTGGAAGGAGTGATCCCCCCACGACTCACATAGACTCCCTTGCCCTTACCTGAGCTAAGAGTTGGTTGATTTTGCTCTGCAAATTAAAAGTAAATTATATAGTTGTGCCAGATGGAACAAAGATAACTGGCGAATGTTCCATTAGCAACACCAAGGCTTCCATTTTGATTTCACTTAGCAATTAACCATGTTGATTATACTTGCTTAATTTGTGGGTGCCCTTTCATAAGCACAAATTAGCTCAAATTCTTCATTTAGCATCAGGGTTGTGTCTCTAACCAAAAAAATAATTATTCAATGGGGATTTGGGGAGACTTTGTCCATCTTAACTCATCTTGCCTTTATGTGGTTGGAGAACATTAGCTCAGCATAATTGCTTTATGCCAAAGTGCTGTTGTATTAACATGAAAAAAAAAAAGGTGTGGCAAGGCAAAAGTTAATAGGCAGTGTGTGCTAGCTTTACCAATGACAGAAAAAAGGATGCAGACACCCAACTTGCCTTTCATTTCACCCTTGCTGTCACACTTCAGACACACAGAGAATACAGAACCTGGGTACTTTGGGCAGATTCTCCAGTGCTGCTTCTGTGTAGGTGGGAATTAAGTCAAAGCCCCTCCCCACCCCTCTCCCCTAGTAGGTAGGTCACCTAGTCGCAAATCTTTGTAGCTGCTTTTTAGCAGGTTAGAAAGATTTTTATTTTTAAAATAGTATAATTTTTTCATGACAATGGAAAGCATGAATTTAGCATGCAGTTCTACATCCTGAGGTTTTGTAAAATTAGACATCTTCTTCTCTCCCCTCTTAGGAGACTCCAGCAATCCATTACCTAGTGTAGAAGCACATACACCAACCACAGCTACCACCCTACTGGCTACCCCCACAGCTCCAAAAGTATTGTTGTAGTCAACAGTACTTTTTAGCCATCTTTCTATATTCATACATAAAAATTACTTCATTTGTTTTATTCAGGTGAAATTCACATAATGTAAGACTAACCATTCTAAAGCAAACAATTCAGTGGCATTCCCAGTTCACCGTGTTGTTCAACCAATGGTATCTAGTTATTTTATTCTTTGTAATGGCTGTATAGAGTTCTATTGTATGGGTGTACCATAATTTATGTATTTAGGCTTTTATCTTTTCCAGTTGTGCACTATACCAAGTAATATTGCAGTACTCGTATGTACATTTTTACATATTTGTGGAAATGTTACTGTAGGATAACTTCTTGAAATTTCAAGGTCAAAAGTTAAGCCAACTTTAAATTTGGATACATCTTTAAAAATTGCCCTCCAAAAAGACAGTGCCAATATTCATTTATGAGCTCCCTTAAAAGTAAGAAGTGTGGATTCCTGAGGACCCCTTTCTGTCCCCTCTTCCCAGATCACTCATGCCCTGGGTCCAGCCTCTGAGTGATGGACTTATTTGATCTAGTTCACAGTCTATATTAAGTTCACTGGAGCTGCCATAACAAAGTACCAAAACTGGATGACTCAAAATGCAGACATGTATTCCATCAGAGTTCTGGATGCTAAAAATCCAAGATCAAGGTGTCTGCAGGGTCATGCTCCCTCTGAAAGCTCTAGGGAAAAATCCTTCCTTTTCTCTTTCTGCTTCTGGTGGCCCCCAGCGATCCTCAGCACTTTTTGGCTCCTGGAAGCCATAACCCCAGATTCTGCCTCTGTCTTCACGTGGCCTTCATCCTGGCATGTGTCTGTGTGTCCTCTCCTCTTCTTAGGAGGATTCAGTCATTGAATTTAAGGCCCACACTAATCCCTTATGACCTCATGTTAACTAATGACAGCCATAAAGACCCTGTTTTCAAGTAATGTCATATTCTCAGGGACACTATTTAAACCACTGCAGTATCATTAGGGAAACTGGAATTTTAAGTATGCAAAATGGAAAGTAACACTGTAGCATTATTCCACTTAGGGTAAAGACAGGCAGTTAGAGCCTAAAGAATAGATGAAAACCCTATAAAATTCTGTATTCTACTCCCAAGTTAATGCAGGTTAGGATCCTAATCCATATTTGCTGTGTTCCTGAAGGTGTGTGCAAAAGTCAGTTGTGCAAAAAATGAACAATAATAAACATATATTAATGCCAAAAATATTTTGGGACTCCTTGCCTTTTAAACATAGCTTTTTAAAATAATTTCAACTTTTATTTTAGATTCAGGGGTACATGTGCAATTTCATTACATTACATGGATATATTGTGTTATGCTGAGGTTTGGAGTACAAATCACCTCATCACCCTGCTGGTGAGCAGAGTACCCAATGAAACATAACATTAAATCAATCAATGAACACAATTTAAACATAACTTCAAATGATGTCTTTGTAGTATTTTGTATATTCCTTACTTCTTTTCCAAACCAAATGAAAATAAGTCAATCAGCTTAAATTCAATAAATGTCTGACTGAGGGTAAAGATTGGCCACTTTCAGCGCACTTAGGAATTTGACCTTCATCTGACATGCTTTGATTTTAGGCCTGTGTTTCCCATAACTACTTTCAGCACTTTGTTTATTTTACTAACTTTTACAAAATAAGAAGAGAAAATATAACTTAAAATTTCAAATACCCTCTATAGAGCACAAGCACTAATATTTAAAGACAATAATGCAAGCTGGAATTGTTTGTTGGAAATGGTGTTGCAGGGTATAGCCTGGAATAGAAGCCCATCAGAAAATGCATGCAAGTCCAAATCCAGTGCCGAAAATGAAGGATAAAAAGCAAGATATAGTGTGGACATATAATACAGCTTTGTCAGTAAGATTCTGTTTTCTAACTGTGATACATTTGAAAAGTTTTAAAGACCAAGTTACAAATGTCAAAGTGTCAAATAAATCATAAGCAACACCAGACCCCTTTCATTTCAAAAACTGTGTAAGTCAGGCCAGTGAGGTTATGCTACAGGAACACGGGAACAAACAGTCCCTAAAATCTTAGTAGCATAAACAAAAAAGCTTATGTCTCTCTCATACTACTTGTCCATCAGAGATCACCATGGGACTCTGTCCTGGGACTCAGATTGTTGAAGCAGCTATCTTGAATGTTGCCTATACCCATTCAAAGAAAAAGAGGATTCTAGAAGGTGTCACATCACCAAATATGACACGTCACTTCAGCTCACCACTCATTGGTTAGAACTAGTCACATGCTCCACTCAACCACAGAGAAGTCAGGAAATATAGTCTGACCATGTGCCAGAAAGGTGGAAATCCAGGAATATTTTGCAAATAGCCCCAATGACCACCACATTGTGTGTGTGTGTGCGTGTGTGTGTGTGTGTGTGTGTGTGTGTGTGTGTGAGATGTATCTTGTATTTGCCTGCAATTTGCATGCATCTATCCCTATAATTAAGCAAGATATTTTCTGTTTATTCCACCAACAGGAAGCGCGACACAGTCCCAGCCATGACCACTCCTGAGAAATTCTACTCCAACGTCATGCAGACTCTGAAGTATCTAAATTCCCACCTACCCAAGGGCAGCCATGTTATTTTTTATGGCTTACCAGATGGAACCTTTCTCTGGGATAATTTGCACAACAGATATCATCCTCTCGGTACCAGTTTGAAGATTCTTTTTCTCTTTAACAATATCAATGTATATATAGTTAAATGTATATATGGTTCAAGCCATATAGAAATGTGCCTAAAATGCCATCATGGGACATGAGTCAGAGCTGATAAACACAAGAGCCCCCAGGTGCAGTATCTAAAGGTCATTACCCAGAGGTGGGCAGAATCAGATCTAAAGCCAGAAAGGGCAGAAGTAATTCATGAAGAATTAAGACACACTGAAAGGTAAGCGCTCAAACCAAGAAACTTCTCTAACAGAAGGTGAAATGTAAAATGAGCTGAGGAAGCCCAAACAGGAGACAGACCCCTGAGTGGAAGGTATGGATCTCTCTGAACCTCACTGGTGAGTGCCTCCTCGTGGCCTGTTAGAATTCTCTAGAGCATGGTCCTCCAGCCTGCTCATTACCTGCTTGTACACTCTCTTGGGGTCCTTGGCTCTAAAATGTCCCTGGGACCTTCTAATGGCAACTCAAATATTCCTGATACCATACAAACATAAAAGTGCCAGTAATTCATATTAGGAAGATGTGATCCTTACCCCTGTGAGATAGATGTTTTCATCAAGCACAATAATGTCATTTTATAGATGAGAAAACCAAGGCTCAGAGAGGTCAGGTAGCTTGCCAAATGCCACAGAGCTCACTGAATATGTAAGCTGGCTGTAGCAGGACTCTGCCTTCTGTTTTTCAGGGGAGAATGTATTTATTAAGTGCCTACTATGTGCCAGACACTGTTCTAGGCACAGGGTAACCAGCAGCAAACACAATAGTGTTAAGCTCCTGCCCACAGAAAGATTACATGACAGTGGGAGAATGACTCAAAAGTATGTCAGAGGGCAATAAGTGCCACAGGAAGAAAATTGAGCAAGGAAGAGGAACAGGGAGCTGGCCTCAGTCGTCCCTGATGAGCATCTATAAGAAGAGGCCCGGGTACCCTCCTCTCAGCCCCATATTGACAGCACCTGCACCAAACTATCATGAAGAAAGGGCTATCCCTTCCCTGGTGTTACCTCACTCACCTCCTGAGCCCAACCCACTAAAAAGTGCTGGCAGTCCAAGCACCTTCTTAGGAATCCGGTGAGAAATTCAAAGAAGACCTGAAACTCATTCCTTCATGCCCTCCTTAGAGTGTGGGGGTGGGGAGCAAGATTTCAAATTTCAGGCCATCAAGAGCCTTTCCTTGCATATACACCTTTGCATGTACCTTTTCAATCTTCCCTTGTCCTCTTCCTGCAGTTCTTGTCTAAGACAACCTCCCTACTTCTCCCTCAGGAAATTCCACCTCTCCCCACCTGGGAAAAATGTAAGGGTCCTTTAGCCAGCTCTCAAAGAGCCCTGATCTCTTAGTTAGAGGGACAGTGGTGGACATATACATTCCAGATTCTCCACCAATAAGGATGAAGCCATTTTCCTCTTGAGTTACTGGTGTGTCACAAATACTATCATCCAAGCAAAACACTGTCCAGCCTCACCTAAGTAGAGCATAGTTCATGCAACCTTGACCACTCCCCCTTGGAAATCACGTGCTCACACATGGACCTTCACTCCATTCTGGGCTGCTTTGCATGCATAAAGGATAACGACCTGGGCTAAGAATGTCTCTTTGAACTGCAGGATATGAAAATTGTACACCTGCCCTCAACTGATTCTTTCAGATTTTGAAATGACTCTCCCACATTAAGAAATGCTTAGGAAAGAGAAGCTGAGGGCAGGCAAGTTTGTTCCCAATTTACTCCATCACAATCATAGCGACTTGACTTCCATTTTTCTGCTTTCAAATCCCATTTTCTTTCCATGAACTCTGGCTATGCCATCACCATAAATTCTTTCCGATATGCCATACAATTCACTTGATTTATGAGGCATGTTTGGTTTCATAAATATGAGACCAAATGTAAGAATGACTCCATGCAATTTGGAAAGGACTAAGGGAAGGAAAAACATAAGAATGTAAGAATGAGGCCCGACACAGCGGCTCACACCTATAATCTTAGCACTTTGGGAGGCCGAGGCGGGTGGATCACCTGAGGTCAAGAGTTCGAGACCAGCCTGGCCAACATAGTGAAACCTCACCTCTACTAAAAATACAAAAATTAGCCAGGTGTGGTGATGCACACCTGTGATCTCCCAGCTACTTGGGAGACTGAGACAGGAGAATTGCTTGAGGAGGTGGAGGTTGCAGTGAGCCGAGATTGCACCATTGCACTCCAGCCTGGGCAACAAGAGCAAAAAACAAAAAAACAAACAAGAAACCTCTGTCTAAAAAAAAAAAAAAAAAGAATGTAAGAATGGTTTGTGAGAATGACTCCATGCAATTTGGAAAGGACTGAAAAGGATGATTGGGGGATTAGTCCACTTCTGTGGGTTCTCTAGGCCAGCGGTTCTCAACTGGGGGCAGCCCACTCACGCCCGCCCCACTTTTATCATCTCTGGAAACAGAAGAGCGTACAACTAGAGTAGGCGCGGTGGCTCACGCCTGTAATCCCAGCACTTTGGGAGGCCAAGGCGGGTGGATGACCTGAAGTCAGGAGCTCAAGACCAGCCTGGCTAACATGGTGAAACCCTGTTACTACCAAAAATACAAAAAAAAAAAAAAAAATAGCCGGGTGTGGTGGCACGCATCTGTAATCGCAGCTGCTCTGGAGGCTGAGGCAAGAGAATCCCTTGAACCCAGGAGGCGGAGGTTGCAGTGAGCTGAGATCACACCACTGCACTCCAGCCTGGGCAACAAGAGTGAAACTCGGTCTCAAAAAAGAAATCAAGAAGAAGAGGGGTGCAACTAGCATCTAGCAAGTAGAGGCCCGGGGTTTTGCTAAACATCTGTGATGCACAGGACGGCACCCACAACCAAGACCGTCAGTCGTGCAGCGTTGAAAGACTGCTCTAGACTTTGCCTTGTCCTCCTCAAGTGGACTCTCTGTGGCTGCTAATCACAACCTAGCATGTCACAGCACAAAATGGGAAGAAGAAAAAGATAGAGCGAGTTCATTCTATAGAAACATCAGTAGTTTTTTTTTAAAAAAAAAAAAAAAAAGAAAACAACTCCAATCACGGAGAAAGCTGAAACCATCTAAAATTTGTTTGATGCTTTTAAGTAATTATTCATATCCTAAATTATCTCTGCTGCCTGGTTGCCATGGGAAACAAATTTAAAATTTCTCAACAAAGCATTAGGGTCCTTCCTAGAAAGTCTGGGGAACGTAGGTGGGATTTGTCCAGCATCCCCAGCCTCATTTGGCAGGTCTCATAACTCACACAACATGACAGACTTCAAAAGAGGCCACATTAGGAAGGTGTGATTTCTTTTTTTTTTTTTTTTTAGATGGAGTCTCGTTCTCATCCAGGCTGGAGTACAATGACATAATCATTGCTCACTGAAACCTCTGCCTCCCAGGTTCAAGCAATTCTCCTGCTTCAGCCTCCTGACTAGCTGGGATTACAGGCACCTGCCATGATACCAGGCTAATTGTTGTATTTTTAGTAGAGGCGGGGTTTCACCATGTTGGCCAGGCTGGTCTCGAACTCCTGACCTCAGGTGATCCACCTGCCTTGGCTTCCCAAAGTGCTGGGATTACAGGCATGAGCCACCGCACCCGGCCAGGAAGGTATGATTCTGAGAATAACCCTGTGAGATAGATGCTTTCATTAATCACAGTGATTTCATTTCTTGCTCTCATGCTGTCTCTCTTCTGCTCTTATTCCAAACCCCATCTTTGGCTATCGTGCCAGCAGTGAAGCAGGGCTGGTGCTGGACTGGCCTCCGGGCTTGGTTGCTCTTTTTAGGCCATCGTAGATCTCATCCTATCAGCTGGACACTCGAGTCTGATTCCTGGCCACCATATTAAGGGTTGTGCTAACGGTGATGTGCAAAGAAAAAAAAGCAGGAAGAAGGGGGTGGGTTCCATTAATTTGAGCCTAGAAATGTGGTGATAATAGTGTCTAGACTTGACTTTGGCCACCTCTTGAGGATTAGGAAAGAGTCCAGGGAACAGAAGCATTGGGGGAGCCCCTGGCCAGTGACACAGTCTCTGCTGCCTCCTTTCCCCTCAGGACAGGCAAGAACTCAGCCTGAGCAACCAGCGAAGGCAGGGTTAGATGCCACAGCACCCACTCAGCAGGTCACAGAGGCCCAGAACAAGAGCAGGTGCCTGTGTCACTCCTGCCAGGGAGGAGGGGGTGACAAGCCCCTCCGAGCCTCCATCCTCCTCAGCTGGGTTTGTGACTCACTACCCAATCTATCGCTGGCCACCGAAGCACCCCACAGCCTTCACCAGTCACTAAAATTCCTGGTGAGAGTTTATTGTCTTTATGAGGAATTACCAGACAGCGAGCCTCACACATTGGGATTCTACTGACGTAGGTCTTTTAAGAAAAGTCAAGCTTGGCCGGTTACAAGCCCTCTCAGCCATGCTCTGTGAGGAAGGCGATCATTCCAGAAATATATCTGAGTTTCCTATTCTGTGCTTTTAAGTAAAGATGACATAAGATACAGTCTGTGTACTCACATGAGAGAGAAAAGACAACTCCGCTGGGGAACACAGCACACGGACTCTGTGGACCCTGACGGTGAACGTGCCGAGTGCCCATGAGGATGGGCAAGTCACAGGCATTCCAGGGCCGTCCCAAGGGTTAGACTCTGGGGAGGAAGCCACGGACTCCAGGCTGCTAATTCGTCTGCTAGTGGGCCTGCCTTGAAGGGCTTCTGCTGCAAAACAGCAACTTCATCTTACTCCAATTACTCTTAATATCTTTTTAAAATACTTTGGTGTTTCTATCTGTCTGAATGAATGTGGTTTCAATACATTTATGTTGCATTTCCTGGAAGTATGACTGATCTTTGTTGGAACTAAGTTTCTATGGTACCTAAGATTTCAGTTACGTTTCCAGAATTAAATAGATATGAGAGACCCTGCTCTAAAGAAATTACAGATTACGAAGACACAAACCGTCACCTAGCCAGCTGGGGAAGAACATGCCTTTGATCTTCAGAGGAGTTTGTGGCAAACACTGGGCCAGCCCACTGGCTCTCCACAACACACACACAGGCACACAGACACACACCCACACAGACACATACAGACAGATACACACCCACACAGACACACACAGACACATACACACAAACACACAGAGACACAGAGACACAGACACACACATACCAACACATACACACACACACACACCAACACATACACACACACACACACACATAGAGACACACACACACACAAACACACAGAGAGACACAGACACACACACACAGACACAGACACACAAACAGACACAGAAACATACAGATGCACACAAAGACACACAGAGACACAGACATGCAGACACACACGAAGATACACAGATAAACACAGACAGAGCTCCTCGGCCCCTGGAGATTCCTGGCCACTGTGGGACAGTCCTCCTGGCCTGCCCCTGGGCTTTTTTGATCAGCTTTTCTATCCAGAGGGACTTTCTGACCAGGGAGTCACAGACACAGTCTCTCTGCAGGATCCCCATAGAGGCAGGATCAATAGGCAAAAATTACATTAAAGTAACAAAGATAAAAGATAATGCCTAAAAAGACTGGGGGACCAACTGATGGTACCAATAAAGCAGAAAGCCTAAGGAGCCATTTCCCTCTTCCCTTCCTTGAAGCCATAAGCCCATCGCAAGCACCCCTAGCCAGTCTTCCAAGTGTCCAGCTTCAGAGTCCCTACCCTCTAACAGGCAGAGACACCAGAGAGGAGGAACACTGACTCATTACAACTTTCCCAGGTCCTTCTAAGTGTACCTAATGTGCCCTCATCCTGTTCAGCAGACCTAGCTCCCCACAGTGAGGATGTTCCCTTTCTCAACAAGGTCCAGTTGGAGGTGGAGTCAGGAGACGAAGGGGAAGGGAGAGGGACTGGAGGAGGTGTGGAAGGAGGGTACCCCCTAGGGCCTGTGCTGGCCGTCAGCTGTGAGACAGCAGGAGAAGGCCTCAGGCAGGGTGGAACAAGGCTGAGGCGGGCCTTCATTCCCAAGGAGAATCCGGCAATGAAGTTCCCAGTGTCACAGGAGAAGGACAGACTCCAGCCTCTCTGGATATCAAAGCAATCCAGGCCTGAAGGTGGGGAGGGGAGAGTGAACGCTCAGGCATGAGGTGCCACCTCCAGTTGGGCTGCAGAGAGATGCCACCCCTCGGCCGGGGGGCACACCAAGGCCCAGAAGGGTGGCAGGACCCTGGCCAGGCTATCTAAGTTTCGCTATGAGGCCCCATTTCCAACATAGAGACAAGATGGTGCTGGGCACCAAGGCAAAAGCATTCAGAGACACTGGGCCCTCACAGAAGGTAGGGAGAGGGAAAGCTGGGGCTCAGTGGCAGTTTCTGGGGGAAAGAGCCAAGCCAGGAGAGCACGTGGAGGGCCCAGGGTGGGGAGTGGAGAAGGAAGGTGTCAATCACTGCAACTGGGACACATTCAGGAAAGGGGAAAATAACACACACACACACACACACACACACACACACACACACACACACATAGAAGGAACAAAACCTCGGTGGGTAGAAGCAGGAATTTGGGGGAAAAGGTGACCTCAGTGTCGGGCCCATAAAATGAAAGCAAGGACAAAAGCCAAGGACTTGGGATTCATCTAAAATGCAAAGATACAGAAGCCTGTGCAGAAGACAGACCTGGCGGGTCACTGTGACTTTAGCGGCCGTAATGAGCCTGAGGGTTTCCCGTCCTGGGACTCACTCACCCTCACAGAGAGATAATAAACTTTTTCTCTATGACAAGAAAATTGAATCTAACTGCCAGTCTAACTAATCAGAGGTATAAGTGAAAAATAAGACTGTGTTCTATCACCTTCAATCTTTCTCTTGGTTCTGAGATAGATACTATTATCTTCCTTTATGTTTTCAAGAGTGTGAGGAGTGTTAATGGATACAGTGTCAGTCATTCAGCCCTGAGATTGCAGAGACCTGGCTTTTGTGTGTGAGCCACAGCATGAAAGTTGAATTGCTACAGAGGGGTGGATATGCTGCAGGCGGGGTGGGGCAGTGTTGGGAAGAGAGGAGAAATCACCACAGATTCTGGGACTAGAGCTGATGTTTAGAAAAACTGGATGAACCCTCGTCTGGTTCATGAACCAGATGAACCTTTTATTATGTACCTCTGTAAGCTGCACTAAAAATAAAGGGTAGGGCATTCACTAATTGGGGCCAAATAAGGTATCCACTGGACACCCTTACTCCAGTGCCACGAAGGGAGACATGAGATACCACCTTCCCCGTCCCGTGGCCGCCCAAGCATTTTTGAAGGCTTTCAGTTCACCAAACTGCAGGGAACTACATGATCAAAGTTTCAGATACTCAGAATGTCCTGCCAGGCCCCCAGCATGGGATAATTTGGTCAGGCCTGAGCATTTCATAAACCTAGAAAAGGGGATTAGGTCAACCGCCACCTCGAATGTTCCCCGTGCCCCATGCAGGGAGCATTTCATACCAGGGCCAGGAGAAAGTGCTATTCTTAAAGGGCTTTGTTCAAGGGATCCTGGTTCATATTGAGCTGTAGGATACTTGCATTTCTCTTTCCTGGGTCCATATGAGGCCAGCTGCCCCAGCCCCATCCTAGCCCAATGCTCAGAGCTCTATATGGAATTGAACTCCTCAGGAGTTCAGACCCCAACTCTGGGTCTGAATTTTTAGGGGCTCAGAAAGGAGGAAAGCACAGGCATTCTTGGAGGGCAATGCGCCATGAAAAATCAGGGCAACCCCCTGGAAATAGCGACCTTCCACAAGAGAGGCAGGGAAGCCCCCAAGTGTCTCTAAATGCCGCTATTGCCGAGTGCATTCAACCTACCATACCTCTCCGTTTTCCAGGCCAGCTAAATAAAGACGTGACCTATGCGCAGCTGTACTCTTTCCTGAACTGCCTCCAGGTGAGCACTCACTGACTTGCTTCAAGCCCGCTTGCCCGTCCTGTTCCTCTGTAATCAAAGTGTTTTCCTGCTCTCAGGTCAGCCCCTGCCACGGCTGGATGTCTTCCAACAAGACGTTGCGGACTCTCACTTCAGAGGTACGACTGTCACAGACCTTTTGATACCATCTTTGATCATTCTTTCCCTGTGTTTGCTGCAGAGTTTTCAGTGGGGATGGGATCCTAGCAGGGAGATGGCCTCCAAAACCTCCCGGGTGCTTGGGGAGCGGAGAGAACTTGGTGCACCCTGTCTCCCTCTGCCTCGCTCTGGGTCTGTCCTCTGACTGTGTTTCTCAGCCACTGTCTCTCTCATGTGTGCACGTGTATACACACATTCTTCTGCACACACACACACACACACACACAAGTTTTAAAACTGGTCGTAAGCATAGTTGTAGAGGTGGAGAGAACTGGTTGCGATTGGCCCCTATGCATGACGAAAGTTCTCCTGAGGTGAATAAGAACCTTCCTCCCTTCTCTCAGGGAATCCATTGCTCCAAGAACATGGTTTGCACTTCTTTCACACATGGTGACCAATCTCTTTGTAAAAGACTTATTGAGGCTGGGCGTGGTGGCTGTAATCCCAGCACTTTGGGAGGCGGAGGTGGGCAGATCACTTGAGATCAGGAGTTCAAGACCAGTCTGACCAACATGATATAACACTGTCTCTACTAAAAATACAAAAATTAGCCAGGTGTCATGGCAGGCACCTGTAGTCCCAGCTGCTCGGGAGGCTGAGGCATGAGAAGCACTTCAACCTGGAGGCAGAGGTTGCAGTGAGCTAAGATCACGCCACTGCACTCCAGCCTGGGCAACAGAGCGAAACCCTGTCTCAAAAAAAAAAAAAAAAAAAAAAAAGACTCATTGAATATTTTTTACATAAAAAGCATATTTTAATTTTTTAGAACTTGGAGAACACAAAAAAGCATAAAGAACAATAACAAAAATCCACATTCCACCACCCAAATTCAGTATATGTGTATGTCTTTCCATTACCACTTCCAGAGATCAATATATTTGGTTTCTGCCTATATAATATGAGAATGCACATACTCTTTTAGGCTTTCTAGTGTTCATAGATTATTTCTCCACATCATGATGTAACCATTCAAAAGTTAATAAATGTGAATACATTATGATTTATTTCATCCTTTGGTGTTGGACATTTAGATGGTTTCCAAATTTATACTATGATAAATAGCACTGTGATGAACAGTCGTATATCTAAAGATGTATGTCTCTGTGTACATCTCTATTTCCTCAAGACAAATTCCTAGAAAAATTACTGGGCCAAAGAGTATGTCCATGTTTAAGGATTTGATCCATACCGCCAAATTGCTCTTTAGAAAGGTTAAGCTAATGACATTCTCATTCACCTACCCATGACAACATTCAATATTATGGTTATCTTACCTTTGCCAATCCCAAGGGTGGAAAAACTAGTATCACTAATTCACACTGATTTGATGCCTAATGAACGTTAACATTTGTCGTATGTTCATTGGCCATTTGTACGTGAATAGAGTTGAATGTGCAGAGCTTCGGTCTGCTGATGGCTTGGAGAAATGAAAGTGGGGTAGGATGTGGAAGATCGATTTCTTTGTTCTGCCTGATTTATCTCACTAAAGTCAAAGTCTAGATTTCACGAAATTCTCCCTGTTTCCTCTGTCTTTAGAGAGCAGAGCAACTCTCCAACACACTGAAAAAAATTGCAGCCAAAGAGAAATTTACAAACTTCAATCTTTTCTACATGGAATTTGCCTTCCATGAAAGTAAGTGGCTTTGTTTGGATATTGACAGAAGTTGAAAGCAGCAGCTAGTTTAGGGCCTGGGCAACTGGTTTTATACTGGTTTTATAAGCCATTAGGCAGCAGATTGGGCAGGGTTACTCCTACCTATTCTGATACATTAATAGCTCTCGGCATTGAAAAAAGATAAAATGTGGGACTGTTTCTGAGAAGGTTGGGCTCAGCGTTACCTCTGCACTTCACCGTCATTTGGCAGTCCCTGATGCAATGGAGCCAGTGACTGGTTAGAAAGAGCTTTGGGCTGGCAACCTACAGGTTAATTCACTCACTAACCTGTGCTTGCCAGGTTAAATGCCCTGGTTACCTGTGGGCCACAGATGGATGTGACAGAAACGACAGATAGGGCTGGCACCTCTCACAGTGGGCCCTGAATTACCCAGGGACTCAGGAGCAGTGCAGATTCTCAGGCCCCACACATGACCAACCTAATCAGAACCTCTAAGGGAGGGACCAAAGAACTTGCCTGTGGCAAATTGATCAACCCATGTCCCAGCTTTCTGGAAAGGACATTACTAAGTTTCGTTTTTAGCATTCTGTCCAAACACTGGCGTCACTGCTAAGTGGCCACACAAAAACAGGCGTGATGACTATAGCTACTGATTTACCCTTTACATCTTGAGTCTGAAAAATTATTGCTGATTGAATGTAATCCTTCCTGATTGATTTTCATTGCTAAGCAATTTTTATACCAGAGCAAAGCCCCCTGTTGACTGCCAGACGAGATAATGCTATGAAGTTTCACGGTATAGGCGAAAGATGGAAGATTCCTCACCCAGAGTTCATCATCTCTGTCCGCCACCCCCAGGGCCCCCATCCTCAGCATCTGGGTTGGAGCAGATGGCCATCATGAATTATCAGATATTACATTCGCTGACAGGTTTTACCTTGCAAACTCTAGTAGTTCAATTCCAAACATCCTTTCAACAAGACTGATCTCCCTTAACTAGATTTCCTGCCTAGGTGATACACATTTCCCTCATGGGGAGAGACATTTTGATAAATAACCTCTCATTATAATGCAGAGTTAAAGACTCATTAATGAATTCCTGGTGTAAACAAATGCACCATCAAGTGATCTTTGATCATCATCAACCTTGAATATAGATAAAGTTATTAAAAATATAATAATGTCTAACACTCACATGGGGCTTTTTTTTGTTTTGTTTTCCAGAGTGATCTCTAGCTCTGTCATTTATTATCTCTGGGACTACAGGCAATTCTCTGATTATTTCTAAATTCCCTTTCCAGCCCTGGAAATGGGGATACCGTATCTTCCTAACAAATCTTTGTGATGATTCTATGAAATAATGTGCCATCCTCCTAAATGTTATGCCAGGTACACAGAAAAGGTACCATTTCCTTACTCAATGTATGCTTCTGGATAAGCAAAATCAACACTGCCCAGGAGCTGGTTATAAACACAGAATTCCAGGCCCCCCTCCAGACCTACCTAATCAGAATCTGCATTCAAACACAATCCACAGATCATTTCTATGCTCATTAAAGTTTAATAAATGGTTTGTGAGGCTGAAGTGGGAGGATCGCTCAAATCCAAGAGTTCAAGACCAGCCTGGGCAACGTTGCAAGACCTCATCTCTCTATGGCCGGGCGTCGTGGCTCACGCCTGTAATCCCAGCACTTGGGGAGGCTGAGGCAGGCAGATCACAAAGTCAAGAGTTGGAGACCAACCTGGCCAACATGGTGAAACCCTGTCTCTACTAAAAATACAAAAATTAGCCAGGTGTGGTGGCACATTCCTGTAATCACAGCTACTCGAGAGGCTGAGGCAGGAGAATAGCTTGAACCTGGGAGGCAGAGGTTGTAGTGAGCTGAGATTGCACCATTGCGCTCCAGCCTGGGCAACAAGAGTGAAACTCCATCAAAAAGAAAAAAAAAAAAAACCCATCTCTACGATTTTTTCTTTTAATTAGCCAGGCATGGTGGTGCATGCTTGTAGTCCCAGCTACTCTAGAGGCTGAGGTGAGCGGGGGATCACTTGAGCCTGGGAGGTTGAGGCTGCAGTGAGCTGTGATCACATCACTGAACTCCAGCATGGCTGACTGAGACCTCATCTCTATAAAAATAAGAATAAATTTTAATAAACAGAGTTCTATAATGCTTTCAGACTAAGAGCTGGGTCAGTCATCAGATTTATAAGTCCTGCTATGTGCCGGGAGCTATGAAGGTGCCAGGAACATAATTGTCAACAAAACAGAAGACTCCTTATCTCCATGAAGGATACAGAGAGAAGAGCTTTATTCTTGACTGGCCAGAATTCCACTGGTGAACTGACATGCTTGGAAGCAGGGCCTCATCAGCCCTTTCTTGTCCTCGCAGCAATAATAAATGCTGTGAAAAAGCAAAAAGTTGAGTTAAGCTGAACTGAACAGTCTACATCAATGTGGCAGAAAGCTCGTAGCCATTTCTCCTTGCTTAGTGATTCCCATCAACAATTCAAGGAATTTCCTGTTTTGTAATCTCCTGCCATTTGTTTAAAAGAAATGCGAAGATCCAGCTTTGGTGCAGGGCCTCCTTCGCCTTCTCCTCAGGAAGTTAAGCATGTGGGCACCGTGGGAGCACTGTGGAAACTGCCTCCATGAACAGCTGATACAGCACCTGCATTTGATGCCTCGGTGCCACCATGTCCACACCCGAAAGAGCTAGCATTTCTATCTGGTTTTCAGTAACATTTTTAACTTGAAATTTTAGCATTTCCAAAAGCAAGTGGAGGGATAATCCCATCCCAGACCCATCTCTGCGTGTCACCTCCCGTGCCCGGGAAGCTCATCTTCCCAGAAACCTACCTCATGTGGGTACTATGCGTGGTTCTAGAAAGAGCACAGAATTTACAACTGTGTTCCAGCTCAGAGATAGAGGATCTGGGTAACCTCAAGTGAATTCAATAACCACCCAGCCTTTGTTTCCTTGTATGTAGGATAGAAATAACTGACCCATGTAAGGATTAACTGAAACAAAACGTGTAAAGTTTAAGGGCTCCATAACTGTTAGCAGCCATCCCCCCACTGCCATCATCAGTGTGTAGGAAGCAACTCCTTCACTTCTGAGGTCCAGCCCATCCCCCAGCTCCATTCATGCCTATGAAGTACTTTGAGTTCCTTCGAGGAAGGTATGGTAGAAATGCATGTCATTACCAAGAAGAAAAGTAATCTTCTATCAGAAATTAAAACCCTACAGAGTCGCTTATTAAGTCTGCAGTCCTAATAGTCCCATGAAAATCTCTTCTCTCATTTTGGTACTTTATGTGAGCTGACTATTGCGTCAAAAATATTCTCATTTTTCATGATACTAAAATTCACAATTTCACATCCTTGTGACAGAGCAAATTGCATTTGAGGGTTCCTGTCACTTGCGGGTAGACACGAGACCTATTCGTTTTCTGCCCTGACAGCCTCGGTCCAGCACTGAAAGATCATTGCTCATTTCCAAAGACTCTTTTTTGTCTCTTGCTGACTCATTCTCCAACTGGTTATGAACTAAACAGAGGCAGCAACTTTTCCTCCCTTCAGGAAATGCCAACTTGAGCAGGTGATGTTCTTTCTCTTTGTCTGCACCACACATCCCTAACAGAGGAAAGAAAATACCACTTGGCTGACAAAGCCATTTTTATACCAACAGTTTAAATATACCTCCAGCTGCCCTCAGCGTCCCAGACAGCTCAATTGGAGGAAGCCTGGTTCCTGGTTCCCGCCAACATGAATACATCTGTAAAATCAGCCAATGGCTTTATGGTGCTGACCAGAATGCAGCCTTTCCTTTAAAATATCTGCTAGTGTTGCTGTTCACCCAAGAGCTACCAAGTGTTTTATGAGTCATTAGCAGTTTCTTTGACTTTACAAATAAAGAAAATACATTAAGTAGAAGAAAACAAAACAAAATACATTATGCTCCAAATCTCCACAGATCATCCATGATCATTCAAGAAACTTAATCCAGATCTTCTGAAGAACAAATAGGAATTCACTAGTCTATTTTAAGTTATGGTCTGAAGTAGAAAGCAGTTTCTTTGACTTTACAAATAAAGAAAATACATTAAGAAGAAGAAAACAAAACAAAATACATTATGCTCCAAATCTCCGCAGATCATCCATGGTCATTCAAGAAACTTAATCCAGATCTTCTGAAGAACAAATAGGAATTCACTAGTCTATTTTGAGTTATGATCTGAAGTAGAAAGCAGTTTCTTTGACTTTACAAATAAAGAAAATACATTAAAGAAGAAGAAAACAAAACAAAATACAGTATGTTCCAAATCTCCACAGATCATCCATGGTCATGCAGGAAACTTAATCCAGATCTTGTGAAGAACAAATAGGAACTCATTGCTCTGTTTTAAGTTATGGTCCTAAGTAGAAAGGAAACTGACCAACTTACCATATTATCTTTGATTGGACCTCCCACTTGAAAATCAATTAAGGAAAAAGTAAAGACCAGTGTCTGGTATTGCATTTCTCCCCAGAAAGCAGAATTTCATCCTGAGATAAACAAAAGATCTTTCCTTTGACATTGGTCATGATACAGATAAAATTCTAAACACTTGCCTGTGAGTTACTGAGGCCTCCTTAAGTTTTACTGTCCTGATGGCTACGTATATGTGATGACCCATAGCCCTCACAGACATAATAATCCTGTGGGGGAAAAATGATGCTTGCCTCTGTAAATAGATAGATTGTAGCCTTAGTAAACTTGGAGAATTTTCTTTTAACACCTACTGTATTATTTTATACAGCAAGCAAGTTCTTCCAAAGGCTGGACTCCCTTGTAGTGGTCACCTAATGTAGAGAAGGGATGGGGGCTGGGAGACAGGAATAATTTCTTAGCAGGGAGGGATGTGTTATCATCGACATCATTCAGAATTGCTGGACTAGGGTGATGATAAAAGGTGGACGTCTCCCATTGCCCCCGACGCTAGGGTATGCTTCTGTTCCCCTGCAAATCTTGGCAAGTAAACATCCCTTCTCTTTCTTCGTGTTTTTATTCCTGATTTCCTTCCAAAATTCCCACAATTATGGAATTGCTGAAGTCTCCAAGGGAAGGAAAAAGGAATGGCCATCTCTTCTCATTTTGAAAGCACAGTATAGGTTGAATATCCTTATCCTGAATGCTTGGGACCAGAAATATTTCAGATTTTGGATTTGGGGGGATGTTTTCAAATTTTGGAATATATGCATTACATATACTTAACCAGTTGAGCATCCTGTGTACAAAATCCAAAATTTTCCAGTGGGCATCTCCTTTGAGCATTATGTTGGTACTCAAAAAGTTTTTAATATTAGAGCATTTTGGATTTTGGCTTTTTGGATGTGAGATGCTCAGCCTGCGTCACTATCTCTGATCATTGAAGTAATTATCTTGTTCCAGGAAGACATCTATCAACACCTCTCTTTCTTTCTCTAAGGGCCATAGTTTTTAGTTTGGTAATTAGTAACACACATAAAATATGAATCAAAATGAAAATAGCGTAAAATTACTTTAAGCCTAGATGCCAAAATTGAATCACAGTCTAAGAAACTCACGTATAAGCAAATCTCACCTTGTAAATATCAGGTTCCTAGTAAACATTCTTCTCAAGGAACACGATCTTGTTTAAATTACTTCCTTAACAGGTTCAAATTTGCTTTCTACTTTAGATTTCCCAGAGCTCTGGATCACCATAACCCTTTTCTAGACATTTTCTTACCCATTGCAGGCATGGGTTTGATTCAACATGTCATTCAACTCTCTTTACGAACATGGAGAGTCAAAAAGCACTGAAGAGGCTTCCTACCCCTGCAGCATCAGGTGACACCAGGGTACTCCAGGTCAGGTCTGTGGCTTGCTGTGCATCTACTTATTACAAGACGACTCTACCTCATGTCTTATTCATCCAACTCTTCCTAACTTTTTAGCAGTCTCTGTCTGCGGTCTTGATTGGGCTCAGTTCCCATTGACCTACTCTTATTAGCATGCCTGGGAATTTTTTAATATCTGCCTCATCTTAGAATGCTATAATAAACTACCATAACCTGGGTGGCTTATAAACAACAAAAATTTATTTCTCACAGTTCTGGAGGCTGAAAGTTTAAAACCAGGATGCCAGCATGGTCAGGTTCTGGTGAGGGCCTCCTTCTGTGTTGCTGGCTGCTGACTTCTCATTGTATCCTCATATGGTTAAACAAATAAATAAATAAAAAGAGTGAGAGAGCCCTCTGGGTTTTTTGTTTTGTTTTGTTTTGACAGAGTCTTGCATTGTCAACCGGGCTGGAGTGCAGTGGCGTTATCTTGGCTCGCTGCAACCTCTGCCTCCCAGGTTCAAGAGATTCTCCTGCCTCAGCCTCCTGAGCAGCTGGGATTACTGGCGCCTGCCACCATGCCTGGTTAATTTTTTTTTTTTGTATTGTTTTTGTAGAGATGGGGTTTTACTATGTTGGCCAAGCTGGTCTCGAACACCTGACCTCATGATCCACCCGCATCGGCCTCCCAAACTACTGGGATTACAAGCATGAGCCACTACGCCCAGCTGGGATCCATTTTATAAGGGCATGAATCCCGTGATGGGGGCTCCATTCTCATGGCATAATTACCTCCCAAAGGCCCCCACCTCCTAATGCCATCATACTGTGGATTAGGATTTCAACACGGGAATTTGGAAGGGACACAAGCATTCAGTCCTTGTAACACCCTGTTGGGATTTTCTTTCATTCTTTCTTTTCTTTTTTCTGTTAGCATCTGTACAGCATAAGTTGAAACCCAACTAGAAATAAAGGGAAAAGGGACAAAATGTTCATCAAGAACTTTGGTGAAGCAAAAAGGAACACAAGTAGGATGGAGATGATGTCACCTCTGAAGTCATGGAGGGGACTAGGAGGCTGACATCTCACCTGGCCTGGCCTTTCTGCATCATTGCCGATTTTTGAGAGACTCCTGTGGGACTGCAAGGAGAGATGAGACAAAGATCATAAAAGGACAAAGAGAACTGAGAGGGCTCAGTGGTGATGATCCTGACTCTGCATTTGAAGAAATCTTTCCAGATGCCTGGTTCTCCATTAAGGGCAATTTGTTGGATGTTCAGATTGGAGGTAGCTTGGACAGAGAATCAGCATAGAGTTAGAAAATAGAAAATCAGGACCCAAAAAGGAGAAATTGGCCCATTCTCCTGGATAACAGGGAGAACAAAGAGCCCAAAAGAAGCATCAGGGAATGGCAGGGGATGGGCTGGACAGCATCCCTGACCCGGCAAAGCCAGCATCGCAGCCAGGAGGGCAGTCTGGAACCCCACAGGGGGTCAAGTCCCGAAGGAAAGATGAGGCAGCTAGGACTGAACCTCAAGCAGAAGGTTGGATTCCAAGGTCATGCCTAAAAAAAACAGGCAAAACAGTCCAGGCAAACTGAAGACTGAGCCAGGCAAGCTTCTCCAAAACTGTGCCTTTACAAGACATTATGGCCAAGGGCAAGAAAGAAATTGTTGAAAGCTGCATGCTGACTTGGCAGAACAAATAAACTTTCATGAGAGTGAATGCTGTTTAAGCATCAGTGCAGATCTGCCTACCATTTCTTTAGAGAGAAGTGTTATTTACCAACATGCTGCTACTTCTCCCTTGAGACTCTGTGTGGCAGACAGCACGTGACACAGTGGACCGTGTCCTCAGTTTGAGTTTTCAAGAAATGCAAAGGCAACTTATCAATAGCTGCTTCTTCTAAAAGCCTCCAGTAAAAGCCGGAAGCATAATATGAAACCGTGGCTCAGGGGCGGTCATTCTACCAGAGAGTCAGCTAGCAGGGACCCCAATTCAGTGTGTAGGACTCCAAACCATTAGCATGAACTTTTTTTCCTGGGCTTTGAGAAGGGCAGCGTTATCTTCAGCACTCCCACCCCACCCACCTCCAGGGAACTGGGATTGGGTAGTAAGTGGGGATGGCATACTGGGATATTAGGACTAATTGCAAAAGCAGCCTTGTATTGACTCAGCCTGGGGAAGTCCAGCCCCTCTTGTCCAATCAAAGCCCCCGACAGAATCTCCATCCTTCCTTTGGGATAAGAAAGGGAGATTCAGAGGGCACAGACCTGTGTTCTTGAGTTTTCTGGGGAATGAAGAGTAAAGAAGAGGAGGAATCTTAGCTGTGCCTGACCCCATCACTGGACGCTGGGGAAGTGAGGGCGTAACTTTACCGGGAGCAGCTAGCTCAGATGCTGCTCTCTGGAGGCTCCCTAGGGGTCTGAAGTTTCCTTGAGGAGTTCTTACTGACTGTATGATGGAATGACGTCGAGTTAATCGTGCTGTTGCCTTGCAGCAACTGACATTCTTGGTCTCTCACCCCGGTTGAAGGACAGTTTTATTGCTTTTCATCACTTTGGGGCTCATAATATTTTCTCTGCAGCCATATTCCCTCTAAATGTGGCGATGAGATAATTTTATGTAATTATATTCCTGATGTACTGTATGATTTTGAAAGGCAAGTGCTTGACACATGCAGGCAGAGTCTGCAAATGGCAACCCATGAAAGGGGATGTTCACAAAATGTTGGCTTTTCCCCTCCTGTAATACCATCCTACCACACCACTGAAAAATGGCATGTACTGAAATCGGTGTTGAATATTTTAGAGCTCACCTTTTCCCACTGCCCTCCCTGCTACACAAACCACATTCATCTAACACTCTCACGTATTCTCTTCCTGAGTTAGAAAAAGGCGCACACACACACACACACACACACACACACACAAATAGGAAGGTCCTTTCTGTTCAGAAAGCCCCCAGTGCAAGAGAGCAGCTCAGGGGCAGCCGTGGCTGGGTCAACATGGGCCTGTGAGGGCCTGGGCAGCTCTCACATCCTTTCCCTTGGATGTTGGCTGTTGCTTGTGCAAGTGTGTCTGTAACCCTCTGGTTCTGTGCCCTGCAGTCATACAGGAGTGGCAGAAGAGAGGTGGGCAGCCCTGGCAGCTCATCGAGCCCGTGGACGGATTCCACCCCAACGAGGTGAGCAGTTACACGGTGGTTGCAGAAGGCTGTTTATTGGTTTGTTGGTTTTTAATTGCCCTTACACATTCATGTGTTTATTTTTTATCCTGTTTTGTTCCAGAAAAGACTTGAGGTAATGTACACACGTGTAAGATAGAAGATTTAATAAAAACAAAGTGAAATTCGGGACAATAGGAAAATGAAGTAGAAATTATACCTGGATTCCTGACTTAATTTCTACAATTAATAAAATATGTGCAGGGCAGTCCTGAGAAACTGCCAGAAGGGGCTTACAGAATCAACTCTGTGCTTTCTAGCAGCAATGCTAAAAAGGGCATTAAGCCACGGCTTCCATAAGATAAAAAAAATAAATCAAGGACTCCAAAAAAACAAAAAAAAAAAAGAAGAAGAAGAAGGAAAATTACAAGGATTTTTTAGAAGTGAGACCCACAAGAAATTTATTCTAAAGATCTTTCTAGAAAGGGTGCTGTATAGGAGAACGATGTCCTTGGCAGTATCCTGCAGTAAGAGCTGTTTCTCATTGAGGATCCAAAGTACAGTTCTGTCAGGTAGCTCTCCTCTGGTCTCTTCACAAAGCAAGGGGAGCCAGAGGGCGGGACTCTGTCCCCTCCCGGCTCCACTCCCATCCCATTATCCTGGCTTCAGCCAGGGAAGTTCCACTTTTATCTGTTGTATGGTCCTGGACTTACTCATGACAGTTCTTTATTAAGAAGAAGAAGAAGAAAAAGAAGTGGGGGAGTTGCTCTGCCACTTGTAAAATGTTGAAAGCTGCTCCTCCGTGGGGAGGGAAAGGCCATTTACTCTCAGGGAATCCCGCATTACAGAGCCTTTCTGCTTGAGCTGTTGGGGAAGCATGGTGTGGCTACCAAAGGGTACAAACCTGATGGGCGTGTCTGGGGGATGCTCCTTGGCTGGCCATTGAGACCCAGGCCACAAGAGGGCTGATCGTCCCCTCAGGAGCCTGAATGAAGTGAGCACAGCCCACCTTCCTCCAACTCTAGGTTCAGCCAGTGCCCATGGGCAGGGCTAAGAATCACCTCCAAAAGGAAAAGAATAGAAGGGTGCCCACTCCCCAACAAATGAGTTAAAGTGGTATCCCACAAATGCTGAGCAAATTTTAAAGTAAGTGTTAAATGCCCGCCTCACAGATTTAAATAGCCACATACACACACACACACACACACACACACACACACACACACACAGACACACACAGACAGACACACAAAATCAGAGTAATGACCTCTGAATAGCTAACCTTCCTGTGTATCAATTGGATGAGTTAATCAAAGAAAATTATTGGCTAGATTCTGGTTAAATATCAGGATCTTGTCCCCCAAAACTGATGTCTTTGGTTATAGAAGAGTTTGTATCTATTGTCTATCCCTTCTTCCTAGCAGTTATGAGGTGGTAGTTCTTGTCATTCTCTGAACAGAACAGCATCTTACCCTTCTGATTCTGTAGAGAATGGGCATATTAAAAGATGCTCACGTAGCGTGTCAGGAACAAACTAAAAACAAGAGGGTCAAAGACAGCTTTGTTTTATCTCTCAGGATATATTTATCCTATCTATCAAATAACCATTCTGTTTCTGACTCTTAAAATGACTTTGGGGTTCAAGGTCTGTCATATTGAGGCTCTATCTTGAACTCAGTTTCACCTATATCTGGTTGTTGAAAACGCAGTCAAAACTGAAAATCAATATGTGCCATAATCTTATGCTATTCCTGCAAGATTTGTTCACATGCCGGTAGCCAGTGATAAAGTGGGCAAGAATAAGCAGCTAGGCCTAAAGCCTGCCTGTTTAGCATGTATACTGAGCTGAAAAGATTGGCTACATGCCATCCAAAAATATTTATTGAGTGACTACCCAGTGTCAAATGCAGTGAGAATTCAAGAGTGAACAAGAAAATACCTTGCCACTTAAAATTATAGTATAGAGTAGGAAAATGATGAGTAAACAGACAATTAACTATAAAGTAGTAAATGCCTTCAACTGTGCAAGTGCAGAACACCACAGAGCATTACGGGGTGGGATGGGAGAGGGGGGTTTTCGAAATGTTTTCAGAGGAGGCGATGTCAGAACTAAGACCATGAACTAGTCAAGTGAAGGGAAGCAAAGAAGGGTTACAGAAAGTGTTTTGAGCAGAGGCAACTGCATGGGCAAAGACCTGAATATGAAAGAAAGCATGGCCTATTAGAGGAAAGAAAAGCACTCAGTGCGGCCAGAGAGTATGACCCTGGAGTTGAGCGGGGGAATCTACAGCATATTAGAGAACTAGATCATGGAAGATCTGCCTGGGGCTTGACCTTGGTCCTGAGGGAGATGAGGCGCCACTGGACATTCTCAAGCAAAAAATGATCCAACTTGTGTTCTAAAAAGATGCCTGTTGCAGCAGCGTGGAGGATGGTTTCGCAGGGAACCAGTCCAGAGGGACAAAGAAAAATGGAAGGAAAAGTTGTATTTTAAACAGTTTTTTTTTTAATGGCTAAACACAGAGTCACAGGATAGCGAGGCAAGTTCGTATCAGAGATTTTATTCAGGGAATCAAAGTCAAGTGCCTCCTGGAGTCAGTACAGATTGTGCCCACTCTCCTCCCACATTCTCCTCAGTGGCCGCAGACTGATGTAAGGATGGCCAGCATGATTCCAGATCATCAGGTGGTTGAAGAAAGCGTCATGCTGTATTACAAGAAACTAAACTGATGTACTCAGAAACCACTTCTGGCTTTACCAGGTTATGAATTGGATGTGTTTATATGCAACTTAGCAAGAAAGTGGGCTTGAAAGATGTTCAACTACAAAGGAAAATACCTGGAAAAGAATTTCTATGAACCAGAAGATCCCACTTAATCAGAGCACCCACTCCCTAGCATTCTTCTGGAATAGATTTATTCCACACACATGCTTAGTACGGCAGCCAATGACCTCCTCCTGAGCTGTCAAGGTTGTGTGAACTGGCAGAAGAAGGATGTCTCCATCCTCTCATCCTGAGGACAAATGCTGGGGTGGAGTATGTGATAAAAGTTTCTACTGATAAAATGAATTAACTTGCGTCTATGTGATAGCATACTATGCACTGAATAACACCATCTCTACTAAAAATACAAAAATTAGTTGGGCATGGTGGCACACATCTGTGGTCCCAGCTACTCCGGAGGCTCAAGGTGGGAGAATCGCTTGCACTGGAAGGTGGATGTTGCAGTAAGCTGAGATTGTGCCATTGCACTCTAGCTTGGGTGGCAAAGTGAGACTTTGTCTAAAAAAAAAAAAAAAAGATCTACCTTTAGTGACATAGAAATGTGTTTATAATGTACAGCAAAGTAAATACAATCAGACTACAGATTATAGGAGTAATGACTCAACTGTATGCATTTGTCAAATTCATAGCACTGTTTACCAAAGAGAGTTCATTTTACTGTTTCTAAATTTGACTTCAATAAGAGCAGAGTATAAAATGACATTCAAGAGGAATGGTGTGTGGGTGTGTGTGTGTGTGTGTGTGTGTGTGTGTGTGTGTGTTTTCAGATATAAAATCAGGGCCAGGTGCAGTGGCTCATGCCTGTAATCATAGCACTTTGGGAGGCCGAGGTGGGCAGATCGCCTGAGGTTAGGAGTTTGAGACTAGCCTGGCCTACATGGTGAAACCCTGTCTCTACTAAAAATACAAAAATTAGCTGGATGTGATAGTGGGTTCCTATAATTCCAGCTACTTGGGAGGCTGAGGTGGGAGAATCGCTTGAACCTGGGAAGTGGAGGTTATAGTGAGTTGAGATCATGACACTATACTCCAGCCTGGGTGAGAAAGGGAGATTCCATCTCAAAAATAAAAATTAAAAAAATATATATACATACATATATATGTGTGTGTGTGTATGTGTGTGTGTGTATATGTGTGTGTGTATATATATATATACATATATGTGTGTGTATATATATACATATGTGTATGTGTGTGTATGTGTGTGTGTGTATATATATATACACACATATATATACACACATATATGTATATATGTGTGTATATATGCGTATATATGTGTATATATATACACACATACATATATACATATATATTTATATATATATGTGTGTGTATATATATACACACACACACACATACACACACACATATATATGTATGTATATATATATTTTTTTTAATTTTTATTTTTGAGATGGAGTCTCCCTTTCTCACCCATATATATGTGTGTATATATATATATGTATATATATATACACACACACACACACATACATAAAATCACATATATACACACATATATATGAATATATATACACATGTATATATATACACACACACACACATACATAAAATCACATATATACACATATATATATAAATATATATACACATATATATATGAATATATATACACATATATATATATATACACACACACATACATAAAATCACAAAGGTTCTACACCCCATGTTAACAGAGGCTACTTCTATTTTAATTACGGATGACTTTTATTCTGTTTTTCTCTTTGTGCTTAAGTGGGCTTCAGTTTTTCTAGAATGAACAGGTTTTGCTTTAATATTTTAGACTATGAGTGGAGAAGCACAAAAGGATATCAGTTCAGGAGGCTGAGGCAAGAGACTCGCTTGAACCTGGGAGGCGGAGGTTCCAGTGAGCCAAGATCTGGCCACTGCAGTCCAGCCTGGGTGACAGAGAAAAATCCTGTCACACACACAAAAAAGAAAACGACTTGGGTAAAGAGAGGAAAGGGTAGCTGTGCCCTGCCCTGTGCAGTGCCCTGTGGAAGTTATAACAGGAGATTGTGGTATAAGAAACCCACAGCAGATGCTCAGTAAATATTTGTCAAATGAATGAATGATTACAGTGGATCATTTTATCACGTCTCTAGTTTAGTGATAAGCAT